CCATACACACACAGACACACACACCACACAGACACACACTCATAATACACACACACGCATACACAGACACACAGACACACATTCACACACCACACACACAATACACACACACTCACACACCACACACAGACACACACAACATAGACACACACACCACACAGAAACACACTCACAGTACACACACACTCACACACCACACACACCAAACACACACAGACACACACCCCACACATTGACACACTCACAATACACACTCACACACCACACACACATCAAACACACACACACACCACATGCACACCCACACAAACACACATGGACATAGACACACAAATCATATAGACATATTCTCTCTCTCACACACACACTCGTACACACACCCCCTGCCTGGCCTAATCAAGAGACGTACAGCAACACAACTCACCACAGCAAGGTTCCCTGACCCTCAACTGCCCGGCGCGCGGCTCCGGAGCCCGGGCCTGGGGGGCGGAGCCTGCCGGGACATGTCTTCCTGTCATCGCCAGATGACCCTTCAAAAGGGAAAAATATGCTTTTAAATTTTAAGACCTCTAATCACTTTTCTTCTTCACTGTTAAAAAAAATCTCTTTCAACGCTACCTGGTGGGAGAAACGCCTCTTTTGTAAAATGTGTACCTTGAGTGGACATTCCACGGAGTCACCTTGGTCCACCCTCCCCAGAAGGTCTGCCCGTTGCCTTGGGAGCATCCTCAGCCCAGGAGACTGCATTTGCCATGGCCTCGAATGTGGGGAAGCCGGCCAGGGCCCCAGGAGCCCAGCCCGGGGGGGGCCGCCCCAAGGCAGGCAGCCTCAGGTTGGAGGGTGGGAGGAGGCTTGGCTGCGCTCACCTTCCAAGCGGTCTGTCTGCGTCTGGGGCAGGGGGTGGGAGGGAGGCCTTGTCCAGCCTGGTGGCTGGTGGAAAAACTCTCTGGGGTGCGGGGGTGGGGGCCATGGGTGACCCGCCTGCCTGCCCACCCCCAAATGGCCCGAGGGAGCCTGGCGAGAACTTCAGGCGGGGCCCTGGCCTCCGGGAGTAAATCAGAGCCGTCAGTGCGGTAGCAGCTTGATTAAAGTTCAGGGGTTTAATAGATCATTTAAAAAAAACACCCCAATTACTCCCACCCCCGGCCCAGCCACCTGGCCCGCTGCCCCCGGCGCTCCGCAGCTCCCGGCCAGGCCCCGGCGAGGCCGGCCGGGCCGAGGTTCCTGCCTATTCCCGGAGGAGGCCGGCCGCCGAGCGAGACCCACATTCTCAGCTGCATTTAATCTGCCCTGAGACAGGCTGGCGAGGAGAAAACGCAAGGGGCGAGGCATGCGAGGCGAGACGCGGGGGAAGTTGGACAGTTGGCCGGCTTTGTTCACTTGGTAACCTGGAGCGGGGCCAGCCTCGGAGGGGCTCCCCTGGCAGCAGAAGTCTGTTCCAATTAATCGTGTTTAACCATTCTAATCACACTTTAGCACATTAATCCTATTTTCAATCCAAAACACATCTGAAACAGCGGCATGTGGGCCTTTTTATGGGAACCGCAAATCAGATGTAACGGAGAGACACGGGACCCTCGTCTGCTCTGCACTCTCACTGAACTTAAACTTAATAAAATGTGGGGCTGGCTTGTGGTTGGATTTACTGCACGATGCTGATGCTTTCACATATAAATAGATCCCTTAAGTGACTTAAAGACCTGTCAGAGAGCGCAGTGAAAATTTGATTATAAGGTAACCAGCGCCGTGCTCTCTCCCCCTCCTCCCGCACTGCCACGGTGGGTCTGATCCAGCGGTGGGTGGGTGGCTGGGTGGGGGCCGCCTGACTCGCTGAACCGGAGGTGGCGGTGATGCTCCGGGAGGCTCCGGACGCGGTGCTGAGCGGCCTTGTAAAGGGGTTTATGGAGATGTAATCTTGAAAACTTGATAAACCTCAAGCACCTCATCTCCGACGTTCCTGTCGAGTTTCTCAGGCGGTTTGACGGCCGGGAAGGACTTGCTTGCAGCCGACCGACCTGCAGGCTGGGGGCGGGGGTGGGGGCTGGGGATGAGCTGCCAACAGCCAGCGACACCCAGTCTAATGCCCGTGGTTTATCAGCGGAAGAGGCTTCCCAGGGGAGATATTGCTGCAGGTCAGAACAGAGAGGCGGGGACAGTGGCGGGGTTAGGGCTCCCTCCAGCCTGGCCAGCATCCTTTCTTCTCCGTGGAGTGCCCCCTCCCGCCCGAAACACACAGAAAAGTTGAATTTGTGCAGCCTGAGACCCTGTTTCTTGTTCCAGCGATGCTTGGTCTAGTAGCCACTTCGTTCTGGAATCATTTCCACTTCGCTTTTCTCCGAAGCCCACTTGATGTGCATCAGCAGCCAGGTCACTGCGATTAAGGGAAGAAATAATTTGCATCTGAATGAAAACATTGCTGCATCAATATTCTCGCACAGAACCTATAAATCATGTTGGTGCCATGGCCTGGGAGGTGGGAGTCCTAGTTCAAACCCCACCTCTGCCATGTCCCAGCAGTGTGCCCTTTGGTGAATTCCTTGATTCCCCCAAGTCTCAGTTTCTTCATCCACAAAATGGGACTACAAAGAATATCAGTCTGGTGCAATTTTTTTGTTTTTTTTTTAGATTTAGTCCAATGGTTAGCATACTGCCTGGCCTTTAGGAAGCACTATAAACATGTCAGCTGCCTCGTCCCCTCCCCCAGAAAGCCAAGGGCAAAAATGTTTAGGTGTTGGAGCACTGACTCTCCGCGCAAAAGGGTGGTGAGCAGATTAAGTCAGGTGACATCGGAAAAAGTATATGCTGAGTGAATGTTGGCTCAATCAGATGAACATTATCTTTAGTGCTTTCCATTAAGGCCGGTCGGTATATAATGAAATTGCTTCAGTAGACCTTTTAAATTTTTAAAAAGAAAGAGGGGAAGCAATTAGATCAAATATCCGGGCTACTATAGTTAATTGTATTTGAGCATAAAATTTGGCACTGAAAAAGGCAAAAAGGGAAATAAGATGAAGTAAGTCATCCTCATTTTTCATTTATTCAGTTAATCAATTCAGTAAGCGCTCAGTTAAGGCAGACTCTGGGCCAGAAACTGCTTTTGGCAAGGATGAGAGGAAAGAGTATTGATTCTTCAGGTCCAGAGTTCTCCAAAAATTCTAAGCTCAGTTTACCAGGCTGGCTCTTCTAGAAGATCCAGTCTTCTAGAATGACTTTACGGGGGTACAGAAACTTTCCTATAAGCAGCTTCTTCATTGGACCCTGACAGTCCTAAACAGTTTCAACCCAAAGTAATTCAAGGCCTTTTCGCACAGGCAATGCTTTAAAATCAGTTTCCAAATTTGCGACTTCTGCTTCCTTTCTATGCAGGTTTCAAGGGTGTGATGGAAAGAAATGTATGCAGGGAAGTGAAGTCAATGCCCAAGTCTTAATTTGGACCCGGGGTGGGAGTTGTCGATTCATGTGAAATGAAATACGTAACAGTTCATAAAGTGGTAGGAAATGTGAAAGAAAAAAAAAAAAAAGAAAAAGATGCTGCAAAGCACTTGGATAGGAACCAGGATTAGGGTCTGATGTTTGGCTTTCTAAGTAAACACGTCTAGCTTTTTATTTTACAAATAACAATCTGGAAAGATGCATTAGGGAATCTAAATGCAAAATAGAAATGAGTTTATCCAGGTAAGTAAGGTTTTATTAAACAATTTAATTCATTCCAGTTCCTTTGGAAGAAACTGGGTTATGGTTAATGTATTGAGTCAGACAGAAAGTGCATTCATGAAGCCACCTGCATTTAATATACAACTGTCAGAAAACTGCTCACCAGCCCTTTCCCGGAGAGCAACAAGCTGGAGTAGATTTTATTTGGGTAAATGCAACAACAGAAATGGCCAATGAATATTCAAGGCAAGGAAAATTTCAAACCAGGATGTCAGCAGCTGAGAATACGAACAGGACTTTGGAACACCAAGGACCTCTCACCGTTCGCGCCACTTTCAAATGTGCTGTGCCGGAAAGAGGTTTTTCAGATGTGAGGTAGGGGGAAAAAGGAAAACAACCCAAAAAGCCAACTGGAATAAAAACACAGGTCCCTGCAGATACCATTAAAAAAAATAAATCAACTTATGAAATAAGTCTGTAACAGCCATGCTCAAACCAGGAAATTCTCAGAACAGGTATAATCATTTTATGAGCATGTAAAAAAATCCTCTGTTCCTATAATGCTATTTATTGGGAAAGGTAGACGGGTTTGCACAGGCGTTTTTATTCTCTGTTTGGTACCCCTGGTATTCATGGTTTCGGAATAGGTATTTCCCAAGTCCTTTGGCAAAAGAAAAATCATTCCTTTTTTATATTAAGGGGTTTACCAGGCATCTGGTAAGAAGTAATAAAATTATCCGTGATTACAAGTACACTCAAAAGCTCAGGAATGCAGGAGTCCTGTGCACTGGCGCTCTGCTACGCGCCGTGATTTCCTCAGACACCTCCAGGCTGCTCCTCCTGAGCTTTCTGAAAGTCCTCTAGTTGCTCCTTGACCTGCTCTTTCATCCTTTTAAATGGTACCTTCTATCTGGGCTTTTAACTCAGGTTATGCCTGCCACAGAGCAGGCGTGAAAGGACTTGGTCAAACGCAACCCTAAAGAATATAAAGTGGTGAGGCCACTGCAGAAAACAGCCTGGCAGTCCCTCAAAAAAATCAAACGTAGAATTACCATGTGATCCAGCAATTTCCTCTCTGCACCTATTCCCCAAAGAATGAAGAGCAGAGGGGGAAAGGTATAGCTCAAGTGGTAGAGCACATGCTCAACATGCATGAGGTCCTGGGTTCAATCCCCAGTGCCTCCTCTAAAAATAGAAATAAACATAATTGCCTCCCCCCTACAAAAAAAAAAAAAGAATGAAGAGCAAAGATGTGAATAGATACTCACGCACTCATATCCACAGCAGCATTACTCATAATAGCCGAAGTGTGGAAACAACCCAAGAGCCCATGGATGGATGAATGGGTAAACAAAATGTGGTCTATATGAAAATGGAATATTATACAGCCCTAAAAAGGAAGAACATTCTGCAATATGGATGGATTAAACTTGAGACTATTAAGCTAAGGGAAATAAGCTAGTCACAGAAAAGACAGATACTGTATGATTCCATTTATACAATGTACCTAGTGTAGTCAAATTCATAGAGACAGAAAGTAGCAGGGGTCGCCAGGTGCTGGGGGCTGGGGGAATGGGGAGTTAGTGTTTAACAGGTTTAGAGTTTCAGTTTTACAAGATGAAAAGTGTTCTGGAAATGAATGGGTGATGGTTGCACAACAGTGTAAATGTACCCAGTGCCACTGTACTGTACACATAAAACATAAATACTGAAATGGTTCAAATGGTAAATTCGTTGTTATGTATCTCTAGCCCTGAGAAAAGGAACGATTTCTCAACAGTCTTTATAGGAGTCCTGTTGCATAGCGCACTGAGTGGTCAGAACTCAGGACCGTGTGAGCAGAAAAGGAGAAGAGAGTGAGACCGGAGACCCAG